TTGGAATTTAGAAGTATGCTGTATGTGCATCTGTGGTGGTGGTTTTAGTTATCACAAAGTCCTGGAGGCACGAATGTGTTTCATTCCATTGCTAAACCCGCAATACAGGAGACAAGCCCTAAAATGAAGACCTATCCTGCTAACAATGCTAATATTGACCCTTTAAGAACATTCTGAGTGCCAGGCTCATATCTTTTTTTTTTTTTTCAATGTTTATTCGAACTGTGAGATCATGACCTGAACCCAAACCGGAGGCTTAACTGACTGAGCCACCCAGGCGCCTTTAGGCCCATCTTTTAATAGCCTAGGGCCCTGGCTTGACAGGCTCCTGTCTTAAAAGTTATGATAGGAGCTCCCAAGTTGGTGAAGGCAAGAAAGTGCCGGGAGGTTGGCAGGCCCCCTCCTCCCCCACCTCCCACCCCTGATAACTTGTCCTATGCAACTCTTCCATTTGGCCGCTCCTGAGTCGCATCCTTTATGATAAACTGGTGATGGTAAGTGAAGTGCTTTCCTGAGTTAGACGAGTCATTCTGGAGAAGTATCAAACTCATTATTATAGCTGGCTGGTCAGAACTATGTGTAGCACTCCTGGGACTTGAGACTGGCAGCCTGGTGAGACTAAGCCCCTTAACTTGGGGAGACTGCACTAACTCCGGAGAGTGTCTGAGAGTTCGAGAGTTGGAAAAGATACCATGTATTTGGTGTTGGGGGAAAATAAAACCCTTGTTCGGGGCCAGAGGTGGTGTCAGGAAGAACCCTAGAGTCCCGTTTTCCTACTTCTTCACATGTTTAGTGACTTTACATATTTAACGAAACTGGACATTATAAATGATGTGTTGTAGAGACTCTGGGTTCTCTTTTGTTCCTCTGAAAAGTGGAGTTTGTTCTATAATGTAGTTAACTTGGCTGGACTCAAACTCTAAATTCTGTCCTCTCTGTGTAGAATAGTAGCTGAAATCTCTGCTTAATTTTTCCGCTTCTAGATGCTGGTAGTTCCTTCTGGACTCTCCTGGGGTTTCCCCTAAAAATGAGTGTGTTAGTCTGCAGCCTAGGATCTTGTTAGACTTTTTATGTGGAACTGGGGTCTCAGCTTGTCTGAGGCTACCACCTTTCCATGACTTCCCCCTGACCATTTGGTTATTCTGTCACCAACAGACCTGTATAAGCCTACAGGTTTCTGTCACTTGAGCCTCCTGTGGATTAGGCAATACTTAAAGAAAAAACACTGCAAATGTGCACATCTCATCCTTCTCTCCTCCAGTTTCTGCTTACTTTAGGTCACTCTCTTGAGCCTTCAAATAGTTGTGTGTGTGTTTCTGTGTAAGTCTTGTTTTCTAGATCTTATAATTATTTTCTGTGAGTTTGACCAACTTATTCCACCATTACTTAGTCACTTGTTTATTTTTTTATTTTTTTTTTAACGTTCATTTATTTTTGAGACAGAGAGAGACAGAGCATGAATGGGGGAGGGGCAGAGAGAGAGGGAGACACAGAATCGGAAGCAGGCTCCAGGCTCTGAGCCATCAGCCCAGAGCCCGATGCGGGGATCGAACTCGCGTACCGCGAGATCGTGACCTGAGCTGAAGTCGGACGCTTAACCAACTGAGCCACCCAGGCGCCCCTAGTCACTTGTTTATAATATGAAACTGAGGTATGTTCTTGAAAGAAGTAGTATTATAAACAAACAAAAAACGAAACCAAAAAATAGTTACTATAAGTTTCTGTCATGTTTATTGCTCCTGCATATGCTTAGGTTTGAAAACCCAGCTCATTCACATGACCTCTGGGACTCCCACAATTAGAATGCCACCAGAGGTTTTACCCTAATGACTGATAGTCCAAATAGCTTGTTTTTTTAATAGGTGTGGTAAGCTGAAAGAGTGGCTCTTGATTATGAATGTTCCAAAATAAGAAAAAAAAACCCTCCTGGGGTGCCTGGGTGGCTCAGTGGGTTAAGTGTCCAACTTCGACTCAGGTCATGATCTTGCAGTTCGGGAGTTCAAGCTTCGTGTCGGGCTCTGTGCTGACAGCTCGGAGCCTGGAGCCTGCTTCGGATTCTGTGTCTTCCTTCTCTCTTTGACCCTCCCTTGCTCACGCTCTGTCTCCCTCTCAAAAATAAAAAATAAACACTAAAAAAAAAAGAAAGAAAATCCCCTCCTTTATTTAGACAATTAAATATAAGCTCTAAATATTATAATAGATTCTCCTAAAAATGTAGTTAAGCAGGATAACCATTTAATACCCCTGCCGTTAAGAATTAACACTACTGTTCACTGCTCAATTGAATACTCTTGGTTAAACTCATCTTCCCAATGATGCTACCAGCATCATCATGATCACCTGGAGTTTGCTGAAAGTGCAGTCACAGACACCACCTTGAATTTACAGAGTCAGAGCCTGCAGTCTAACAAGATCCCCAGGTGATTCATATACGCATTAACGTTGAAACACCCTAGGTAGGGTAGGTTCACAGTCTGGAGCTTCAAGTAGAAGCGTTTGTTAGCATCTTCAAACTCTTGGGTTTGGTTTTGTTTTTTGTTTTTTGTTTTTTTCTTTGTTTCAGCCTGAACGAGAAAGGAATTTCCAAGAGAGGAGCTACAAACAGGGGCCTTTGCTCTGGCTTCCTGATTCTTCCCTCTTAGCTCAAGTTAGGAAGTAATTCACAAGGGAGAAGTGAAGACAGCATCTTTTCGCTGGTTTCGTTTCTTGATTTCCCTGCACCCCAGTACGTGGTTTCTGAGGGTGATGCAGTGAAGGCTGGCAAAACCATAGTCTGAGTTAAAGCCTGTAAGTACTTTTCTTTTAAAGGGTTTCTCTCTCTCCCCGCCCCCACCCCCAAATGAGCTGTTTCCCAGTTGCTTGAGAATTCTTCTGTCTCCTTTCTTATCATTTCCTTCTTTTGCAAAATACTGTTTCCCTCAGGTTTGTTATGAGTAAAATTCAGAAAGAACTCATTTCTAAAAGGGCACTTTTCCCAGAACAAAACCAGGCTTATATTAGCCTTTAAAAAACTGAATAAACCTTAAACAGTTTTAGAGTGGGAAACCTGACAGTGATATATGTACATGGGTTTATTTATTCTTGACCAGGACTACTGTAATTCCTATGCCAATTTTCATCTTTTTTCTTATGGTCCCGGCTTCTCCTTCCCACGTCTCAGGGAGGGAATTATGAAGCTGTTCACTATCCCTCTCTAAGCATGGCAACTGAAATAAAAGAATAAAGGGTCTAAAGATAATACACAATGTGGATAATTGAGAATTGGCTATAGGCCACTTATACCCTTGAGATGGATTGTACATAGACTTCTCATTTTTAATATTCTTAGCTGGAAAAATTTTAATCACTAAAATTTGAAATGGGGAAAGAGAGACCTTAGGTTTTCTTGTTTGTTTCTCATTGTCCCATAGGAAAAGTACAACATGCTTCCCATAAATGAATGAGTGGCAAATAGTTAATGCACTCTCTGTTCTTTTGTTTTTGTTGTTTTGTTTTGTAGCTGAGCAGAAATACATTTAATTATGTTGCTAGACAAGAAAAGGAGGCTTACTTCAAAGTCAGGCATAGCCGCACCTGATTTTCATTTCCCCTCATCAAGCAGCAGAGTCCACAAAACAGCAACCCCCTTTTAAAAGCATTGAGCCCCTGGCAATTTCGGGAGGTTTCATGGAATTATGCCTGTAGTGTGTCCCCCTAGCCTTGCCATGAGATATACAGGATGTAATTCTACGAGTTTTTCTGTATCTTTAATATCTTCTCCAGAGACCTGCTAGAACTGAAATTCTGTGAGGAGAAACTGTGTTCATGCCTCTGGGTTTCTGGCTCTTTGTTAAAAGGCATTGTATTTGCTTTGCTGTCCTTAGCTTTGATTCCATAGTCCTTCTGGTGGCTGGCACAATGACACAGCAGGCAAGCCAGCTAAAGTGTATGACGAGTTAGCAAGGGACAGCCTGTCAAACAGCTGTTAGTCGTTAGGCATTGATGGAACATCTCTCTTTCTCTCTTTGCTCCACCTTTTAACAAACTTCACAAGAAGCCTTGACCCAGAGTAAACATAGCTATACATATATATTTTGTCTAGTTTAATGCACTCTCTTTGCATCATTGGGGAATTTTTGAACCAAACTCCCCCTAGACACAGGACACAATTTTTGAGAGTTGTTGGAATTTTCAGGACATTTAAACAGTGGGAAAATTAATGCTGTTTTCTTAAAAATGAAAAAGAAAAACATGGGCTGTGTATGAACTTGACCAACAAATTTTTAATTTTGGAAAGAAACGGAAACCAACCTACAGGGTACCACTGGCAGACCTGTCCACCACTGGTTCCGCTTCTCTGAACTCCAATATTGACTTGAGAACTTGTCAAGCTCTTTCTCTGATTTAGAAATCCCAGGTTCCTAGTAACTGTGTGTGTGTGGGGGGGAGGGGCTTTCTGAAGACACCTCTCTCAGATCCACTAAGAGTGGAATCAACGCAGGAATTAGGGGTGAGGAATAAGATGTACAAGGGTACATCTGAATCGACTTCAGGTTATTAACAAAGATCAGCATCGTCATGAACAGTATATGTCTCCTCATCTTTGTAATCATACACAAGTAAATGAAGCAAAGAAGGGGAGTAAGGAGGAGAGAAAAAAGACTTAAATAAAAGAACCATGGTATGGGGTGCCTGGGTGGCTCAGTCGGTTGAGCGTCTGACTTCAGCTCAGGTCATGATCTCATGGTTTGTAGGTTCAAGCCCTGTGCTGGGCTCCGTGCTGACAGCTCACAGCTGGAGCCTGCTTCAGATTCTGTGTCTCCCTCTCTCTCTGCCCCTCCCCTGCTCAGGCTCTGTCTGTTTCTCTTTCAAAACTAAACATTGAAAAAAAAAAAACTATGGTAAATAAATAATTGTTAATTTGCTGTTAGGAAAACATCCCCACACATCCAACTGTATACATCTCCTAGGTCCACACTGGTGACAATAGAAAGGAAGGAAAGACTGAGGATTTGTCATATGCCCATGCATATCTGATAACTTCATATTTTCTATCGAGACACCATGTATGGAGTTGCTTTTAAGACCTATCACTATAAGTACACATACACATTTTATGTTTTATTTTAAAATTTTAAGATACAATTTTTACCTTATAGATGCATTATTAAGAAAGTCAATCAAAGGCTTGGATTGTCCGAATATCTCTTTTTCCTCCTCTGAAAATTCTCTTGGATAATATTGTGTACTGGCATTTTTGGGATATGTCCTAATACATTAAAAGATGATAGAATACCAAAAATTAGATCAAAGAAAAGTAAATATAGGTTGTGACATGTCAAAGGTTTCTTTCTGTGACAATAATAAGATACTATTTTATATTTAAATTCTATATATTGAATTTTTTCTTTATCCTAGACAGTTGATATTGACTGCCTTTTTGAAATACTTTGAATATTTATGTATTTGTTTCCAACATAATCAAGAAATGTTTATTTTTTTAAATCTTTATTTAGATATTTTTAACTTATAGAAAAGTTGTAAGAAGGATCTAAGGAAGTCCCAAACACTCTTCACCCAGATTCATCAGTTAACAATTTGCCACATTTGTTTATCATTCTCTCCCTATTTGGTTCATTAGATCAGTGTTTCTTAACCAGTACAGTCCTACCCCACCCCACCCCATGGGAACATTTGGTCACATCCAGAAACATTTTTGGTTGTCACAACTGGGATGCGCTACCTGCATATAGTGGGTAGAATCCAGAGATGCTGTTTAATACCCTACAATGAACAAGACAGCCTCCCACAAAAGAGATTTATCCAGCCCAAAATGTCAGTAGTGTTTGAGACTCAGAGATTCTGCTCTAAATATACAAAACTAGAAACAATTTGCATTCCAGCAATGATGGTGACATGATCTTCCTCCAGTCTGCCCTCAGCGCTCACCTCCACCCTTGAACATATTATGCTGTTGCATTTGGGCACTGGCAGTCTCACCCACTAGAGTGGGTGAGCTCCTTGATCTTTTGGTATGGGGTTATAGAAAGGTCGGATGGTATAGTCATTGAGAGCGTGCACTCTGGTGATAGGCTGCCCGGTTTTGAAGCTTGGGTTTATCACTTACAAGCTTTGTGACCCTGAGCTAATTATTTAACCTCTCTGTGTCTGTTTATTCATCTCTACATGAAACTTTTAAAGTACATAGCACATAGAAGCATTGTAAATTGAATGTGTTAATACATGCAAAGTTTTTAAAATAGTGCCTAGCACATTTTAAGTGTCGAAAAAAACATTAGGTTATATTTAATCTGTGTTGAACAAATGTCAATGAAACATCTCTGTGAGAGGCAAATATATTAAGTGAAGAGTAATCAAACAAGGAGTAAAGAGAGTTTTGCTTATGTTGAATAAATCATTTTTTCCCCTCCTAGTTAGCTCAGTATCAGTAGCAGAAGGCAGAGTGATAGAAAGAAAGAATGTTGGTATTGGAGTCAGAGAGACTTGGGTTCATATCTTAGCTTCACCTTTTTTAATTTGTTTATTTATTTGTTTTGAGAGAGAGAGAGTGTGTGTGTGTGAGAGAGAGAGAGAGAAAGGGAAAGAGAGACATAGCGCAAGCAGGGGAAGGGCAGAGAGAGGAGAGAGAATCCCAAGCAGTTTCCAGCATTCAGCGCAGAGCCCCATTTGGGGCTCAATCCCACTGGGATCATGACCTGAACTGAAATCAAGAGTTGGACACTAAACAGATTGAGCCACCCAGGTGACCCTTAGCTTCACCTTTTCATTTCTAGCACATATTAGTATCTTCTGGATAGGATTAAGTAAGAAATTTTATGGCACCTGTTGATCTCAGCAAAGAGGCACCCTGAGTCGCTCTTACTTTTAACATGTGATTTGTTTTGTTATTTCTCAGCAGATCTGTTTGTGATTGCTTCAGATTTAAATTATGTCCCAAACATTGAACTTACATTTCTCACCTCACTTTGCCTCGGCTTCTTTATTTGTAAAATGGGGATAGTGCCTACTTTAGAGGGCAGCTGTGAGAACTCAGTTGCTGTATGCCAAGCGCTTAGAAGAATACCCAGAACACTGTGAACATTTGCTTTCACTGTCATTCCTCTTTGAACCTCACCATTGACCTTTCTTTACTTCTATCACAATCCTTTATCTCATCCTCTCCACCCCAAACTAGCTACCCTTCCTCATTTCCTGATCTTCCTAAGGAGAACCAGCATTCTCCCAGCCACCTAAATTGAACATTTTGATTCTTTTTTTTTTTTCATCTTATTGGTCAAGACCTTCCCTTACTTCTCATTTATTTACTCCATCTGTATCACTATAGCTGTCTGCTTGTATCGGTCTACATTCAGTGAGCATCTGCTAAGTCTCAAGTCCTATGATGGGGTTCCTGTTGTTGGAAGTTCACTGTCCTTTTCTGAGTCTGCCTCCTGAGTCTACCTCGGCTGACTCATTCTTGTCACTTTTCTGTTCCCTGGCAGAAACAGAAGTCTCTGGCTGGCTTGGCTTAGTGTATCACCACTCTCCTTCCTGTCTCGCCCCCACATCTTGGTATTTATGAATCTCTGGTGTCCTAATTCTCTGCCCAGACTTGACTACTGATCCTGTCTTTATTTTTACCTCCTTTAATTCTGACCTGTCTCTTCACCTGACTGCCTTGTTTCTGGCCCATTTCTTATTCAGACCCCTGGGATCTATGTATATGTGCCCTGACTTTACCAGTGCATTTTTATGGCTTCTGACTTGGTTTATATAAATTTGAAAAGTGTGTTTTTTAGTTCACTCTACACTCCTGATTCCTGATTCTCCTGGTCATATATTTCATATAGGATTTCAGCATATTTCACAGCTCTCCTCTTAACACTGAACTTGTCAGGCATCTGTTCTGTACATTCTTCTTTAACTTGATCCATCTCTTCCCCCTTCTTCCATTCCCTGTTTCCCTCCATCTGATAAATGGGTTTTGGGAAATGTCCTAGGAGTTGAGGATGTGGAAATAAATAAATCGGACAAAGTTCCTGTCTCATGGAGCTTGAATTTTAAGGCAGGGGCAGGAGGGAAGGTGAGAGAAGAATGACAATGACAAACACATATCAAGTGGTGATAATAACGTGAAGAGAAGTAGAGTTAGGGGTAGATAGTAATGGCGGTGGTTGCTTTTATAGATGGTCCCCAACTTATGCTTCCTTCCACGTGTGATTTTTCTTTCCTATAGGATGGTGTGAAAGCAATATGCATTCAGTAGAAACTGTACTTTGAATTTTGAATTTGATATTTTCCTGGGCTAGTGATATGCTGTATGATCCTCTCTCGTGATGCTGGGCAGTGGCAGTGAGCCTCAGCCCCCGGTCAGCCACAGGGTCATGAGGGTAAGCAACCCATACACTGACAGCCATTGTGTACCCACACAATCATCCTGGTTTTCACTTTCAGTATTTAATAAATTACGTGAGACAGTCAACACTTTATTATAAAATAGGTTTGTGTCAGATGATTTTACCCAAATGTAGCCTAATGTAAGTGTTCTGAGCACATTTAAAGTAGGCAAAGCTATGACGTTTGGTAGGTTAGATGTGTTAAATGAATTTTCAACTTAGGATATTTTCAACTTACCATGGGTTTGTTGGGACATAACCTCATCATCTGTCATGGAAGATCTGTATACAGGAATTTCAGAGAATGCCTCATTCAAGCAGAAATCTGGATGAAGGAGGGAATGAGCCCTAAGGATGTCTGGGAAAAGAGTAGCCTGGAAGCTATGAGTATGCTTGGTGAATTGAAGGAACAAGGAAGCCACTGTGGCTGGAATAGATGAGGGAAAACAGGCAGAGAGAATCTAGACCATGTGCAGCCTTGTAGGTTCCTGTAGGATGGGAAGCCATTGAAGGGTTTTGATCAGTGATGTTATCTTACATTTTAAGAGGATTACTCTGGCTCTCTGTGGAGAATAGAATGCAGAAGGGAAAGACTGGATAGAAGTAAGCCAGTTAGGAGGCATTACAATAACCTAGGCAGGTGGTGAAGATGGCATGGTCCAAGGTGATAGCAGTGGATATATTTTGAAGATAGACCCAAGAAAATCCAAAGTTTTGGGTCTGAGTAATTACAAGAATATCATTGTCATTTACTGGGATGAGGGAAATTCAGTGAATCTCAGTTTTGGAGTTAAAAGGAAAACATTTGTTGTTGGGCATGTTAAACTCAAGAGACATATTAGAAATTCAAATAAGTAGATAAGTAAATGAGTTCAGGTAAGAAATTGAGGCTGAAGGCATAGATCTGGGAGTCATCAGCAATAACAGACAATAGATTAGTATCATAGGACTCTATAAATTCACCCAGGGATTAAGTATAGTTAGAGAAATAAAAACATCAAAAGGAGTAAGCCTTTGGGTCCCCTAATATTTACAGGCTGGGAGGAAGGGATCCAGTAAAAGAGACTGGGAAGGAGCTGCCAATAAGTTAGAATGGGTACAATGAGTGTCATCCATAACACTTACTGGAAAGCTGTGCTTTAAGGAGAAATGGTCAACCACGTTAAGTAGTGCTGAGAAGTGGAGAAAAAGAACGTCTGAACATTGGATTAGGCAATCAGACAACTGGAAGTCTTTGGTGACCTTGTGAAGACTGGCATGGGCTCAAAACAAAATGGCTGAAGAGAGAGTGGAACTAGAGAATACGGACAAGGAAGAGTTTTGTTATAAAGAAAAGCAAAGACCTTGGAACAGCTAGAGACGTCAAAAAAGTTGGGTTTTGTTTGTTTTAATGATGGGAGTTATGGCATTTTGTATTTACACATGTCTCCTTTCCACCCTTTCTTCCGTGCCTACTGCCACCATCTTAATTTAGACACTGGCCACATTTTGCCTGTTTAACTACAATGGTCTCCTACTTGGCCAATGTTCTCAACTCCAGGCTTTTTTTCTCTCTGCTCTCATCTTATGCTTGACTCATCTTATTTAAATAGCCCTATCATCCTGCCTCTCCCTTGCTTCAGAACTTTCCAAAGTTCCTTACTGTCTGCCACAGGGAATCCACTTCTCTGTCTGCCTCTGCTACTCACTCTACTCTCCCCAGGCTGGTGTCCTTGTTGTCCCATGCAGACTCTGGTCTTCCCACCCCCTTGAACTGTTCAAGTCTTTTTAAAAATTTGGGCTGTTTTTCCTTTCCCCATATCTCTAAACCATATTCAGCATCTGTGGCTTATCTTCCATAAATCTAAAATTATTTTAAAATAAACAGTATTTTTTAAATCCTAAAAAAAAAAATGCATGGTTTAGCTAAGTATATTTTCAGACTTATACAACCTGCAAAGACTAACTCAAGTCCCCAAAGCATTCTTTCAGCAATCCATTTCACATCAGTTCACTCACTGGATTAATTTTAATGAAGAGTCTGATGTGTGAAATGATATGGGTAGTCTCAAAGTGCTCTGGATCCAAGGCAGGCAGACAGGGAAGCAGAGGAGTACAATGTGTGTCATCAGCGCTACAGTAAAGATCCATCTAAACTCTAGCGGGGACCCAGAGGAGGGAGAGATCAACTCTACCAGATGTTTCCAGGAAATCACAGAGGAAGGGGCACCGAAGTGGACCTTGAAGGGTAGAGAGGTGTTCTCCAGGTTCGCCATTTTATACAGAGGAGCAGCATGGGCAAAGGCAGGGAGATATGGAAGAGCAGATATTCTGGGAGCTGGAAGCAGCTCATGGAGGTAGAGCATAAAGAGCTTGTTTCAGAACAGGGGACAAGGCTGGAGTGGCAGGCAATGCCTTGTAATGGAGGAAGGAGGACCTAATGCCATCCTAAGGGCTCTGGATGTGGTGGGGTGCTAAAGAAGAGATTTAGGCAGTGACATAACACAATCTGATTTGATATGTAAGAATGACCATTTAGGTGGTGGAATAGAGCAGTGAGGAGGAAAAGGCGAGAGAAAACCAGGGCCCCTTCTCTGGTTGTCTGGTTGTTGATTATTAACAACATTAGTTATTTTCCCACTCCATAGTGGTTACAGTCTTATATACTTGTATCTCATTTTCCTATTGAGATTTTAAAAGGTGTTGATGAGTAGATCTTCCTGAATTGAGTCACTCTGTGAAGACCTAGGTCATCACTGTCAAGCCATTTCTATTTATGATAAAGTCTTTCAAAAATAATCACAGATGTTGCTAGATTTTACTGTACTTGCCTTTGAAAATATACAACCCCATCACATACTTACCATCTTGTTTGAGTACTTGTGTCCTTGACTTTGGGGACGACTTGCATGCCAACATCTTTCTCAAGTTGCTTAACGATAAAATTTTTATCTGGGTAGGCTGTACATTCAATATAGGCATCTTTTACGCTGGAAGCATTTTGGTCCCTGAACTTAACTGGAGCACCAAATTCACTTCGTTTTCGAGAAATCATATATGTAATCTGCAACACGTGTAAACAGTAAAAGGAACATAATCAAGTCCCTGGAAACATGGATGTGGGGTAGACAATACTGGTGCTCTGCTCAGATCCTCTAAAATCTCTCCCTCTACTTCCTGTTTACCTCTCCACTTCTGTGTTTTCCATTTCCAGGGCCACCACCTACTGTTCTTCTGCAGAGCACTGCTCTGGGGCTACTGGGACCACGTTGGTACAAAGGTACAAAGAATAGTGACTGCCAGTTTACATCTTGACCACTGTTGGACTGGCAGGAGACATATGGAAGCCCATCTCCTTTACTTGTGTTTGGGACAATTCAGGTGTAATTTACACCCAGAGTTCCCTGAGGGGTTCAAGCTAAAGCCTTTCCTCTACTGGACTTTTGCCTGAGATAGCATCCTTTGTAGGACTTCTGCTATGTCCGTGTCCTGCTGCTTTTCCTATTCTTCTATGGAACTTTCATAATAAATCACCCACACGCAAATGTTCTTTTCAGGGGCTGCTCTGGCTATGCGTAGGGCTGCCATAACCAAGTGCCACAGTCTGGGTGGCTTAAAACAACAGGAATTTATTTTAACTATTTTCATAGGTGTGGAGGCTGGAAGTCTGAGATCAAGGTGTTGAGGGGTTGGCTCCTCTTAAGGGCTCTGAGGGAGAATCTGTTCCTTGCCTCTCTCCTAGCTTCTGAAGATGGCCAGAAATCCTTGTTATTCTCTGGTTTGTGGATATATCACTCCGGTTTCTGCTCCCTTCTTCATGTGGTGTTCTCCCTGTGTCTCTGTGTCTTTGCATAGCCATCTTTTTTTTTTTTTTTCAACGTTTTTTTTTTAATTTTATTTTTGGGACAGAGACAGAGCATGAACGGGGGAGGGGCAGAGAGAGAGGGAGACACAGAATTGGAAACAGGCTCCAGGCTCTGAGCCATCAGCCCAGAGCCTGACGCGGGGCTCGAACTCCCGGACCGCGAGATCGTGACCTGGCTGAAGTCGGACGCTTAACCGACTGCGCCACCCAGGCGCCCCAAGCCATCTTTTTAATAAAGACTCCAGCCATATTGGATTAGCATCCCCCGGTTCCTAAATAGGGTCATATTCTGAGGTAGTGGACATTAGGACTTCAGCATATCTGTTTTGGGGACTACAATTCAACCCATAATACCCACATATCCAAAACAATAGCCATTCTTCTATCAAAGGAAAAGCCACATCCGTGCTGGCAAACATAGCAAACCTTACAGATCCCTCAGGAATAAGTGTTGTTGAGCATTACAGAGAGGTAATGCACTGAAGATCATATCAGCCCTCTGACCTGCTTTGCAGATTCCTTAACCGATTCTTCATCAATTTCTTTTTCACTGCCCAAAGAAACCCATGGTTTAGAGATAGGTGGTTTATAAATATATAAATCTTCAGAAGTATGCTCTTTATATTCTTCCTGTTCTTCTGGTACTTCTGGGCGCTAAAGTAAAATAAATAGCACTCTAAAATACATGACCCAAAGTAGATTATAGCTGCATGCACCTATTCTGCAATAAACTTTACACTTGTATAAATTCATTAAGCACTTACTTATTTTCTTTTGTATTTGTTCATGTTTTTCAATTAGGAGAAGAAAATTAAACAAAAGGGAAAAAGCCCATTTAATCTTCACAACAGCCCTGGAAATAGATCCTGTTGGTGCCACCACTTTGTGGACTAGTGGTTCAGTAACTTACCCAAAGTCATGGAGATGGCAAGAGGAGAGCCAGAAATACGGGTCAAAGAGTAGCCAAGAGCAATATTACTCCAGATTCATTGTTTCTACTCTCATTGGGTCAATGAAGGGCACATAAGTGGAGTACATGTTACTCTGAGATATTTGATTTAGTTCATCTGACATTTACTGCTTACCTACTCCAGGTACCTACTCTAGGCCCCAGGGAAAGAGAGCAGAACAAGAATAATCATAACCATGTATAGATCTCCCCCAGAGGTATTTCTTTCTTCTGACAATCAACAAAATGCAAGGACTGGGGGTTTGCTTACATTTAAATAGTTTTCTTTGCCTTCTTCTGTTCCAATAAGATAAAAGTTAAGTCCATATCTGAAGCCTTTGTCATAAACAACCAGAAGCTCATCTCCAGGATATTCCTACAGGAATATAATCAAAAGGGAAGGTCAGTTTTCATTCAGGTTATTCATACACAAAACTGTTATTTTTCTAATCAATCATGAAAGATAGCCAGAGTGCTAATCTATGGCTCATAATCCCAGATTGCACACTTATTTTATATAAATTAACAAAGCTCTTAAAACTAAGTGGTTCTAGGGAAATTTACCATGCAATTTTATTTCTAATGGGAAAAAAAAAGCATTCCTTGTATTTGGTATTGATACTCTGTATGTTTGGAGACATATCAGGACTAAGATTATGAATAAAAAATTAAAGCAACACCTGGGTGGCTTAGCTGGTTAAGCATCTAACTCTTGATTTCAGTTCAGGTCATGATCTCATGATTTGTGGGATTGAGCCCCGCTTTGGGCTCCATGCTGAGTGTGAGGCTGCTTAAGATTTTCTCTCCCTCTCCCTCTGCCCCTCCCCTGCTTGTGCTCTCTTTCTCTCTCAAATTAAAAAAAAAATTAAATCTGTATGGGAAAATAAGGGTAGATTCCTATTCTAGTTGAAATTGGGAAGGGTGAATTTTTCTGGGTGTAAAGTAATAATCAGTCACTGATAGGTGTTTGCTTTTCACCGATCATTGAGCAGGATCTCAAAGGAGGTATGGACAACCTAGCATTTGCTCAAAGTAATGGAGGTGGGGAATACCAGATTTGAACTCAACAAGCTCTCTAACTTTTATTATTATGTATCAGAAGCCTCTTGGGTGGGACTGAAAAATAAAGAGAGATGTTGTACTTACCTGGATAACTTTTTTGACTGGGTAGAAATCAGACACTGCAGCTCTGTTTTTAAAGTCTGCTAAAATATCTTCTTTTTTGATAAGTTTATAAGGTTTTTCATCTGTGACATCTTCATCTATTTGGCAGTTAAATATTTCCTGGGTCTGGGTAGTTAACACTAAAGGATAAATTTCTGGATGACCTGGGGAAGGAAAAGTAGACTTGGGACATTAAATATTACCACTTAAGATATTAAGAGGCAACATGCAATTGTTTGCTTTAAATAATTGTCTTGGCCAAAATTTTGAAAGGCTTTTTTTTAATGTTTATTTATTTATTCTGACAGGGGGCAGAGGGGCAGAGAGAAAGGGAGAGAGAAAATCTGACAGTGCAGAGCCTGACGTGGGACTTGATCCCACAAAATTCGAGATCATGACCTGAGCTTAAATCAAGAGTTGGATGCTCAACTGACTGAGCCACCCAGGTACCCCTCATTGTTCTTTTTTTTTTTTAAGTAAGTATATCCATTACAAAAAATGTAAAATAATAAATAAATGACAAGAAGAAACTAACAATTACCCGGAATTACTACCTCTCAAGTGAGAACGTCTGTTAAGAGTTTGCTCTTTTTCCCCTCTCTCAATCCGTCTTCTCATTGTCTTATCCTTTTTATCACCATCAGCTTCCACAGTCCCAGTCTCAGCTCTGCATCTACCCCCAAAACTCCTTCCCCCAACCCCACCTTCCCAGGGTCCCAGAGCCCACTCCCTTCTTCTCCAGATCCTATACACTTGGATGTCCTGACATCTTTTCTCCTACTGCTCAACAGATGTGCCAACAAGGGGAGAAATGCATGTGGCCTCTAAAATGGAGTTTGGGGCTTACTTTTCCATAGAAATATTTATCGCCCTGCCCAAAAGAAATACTTACCCCCCATCCTAGTGGCTCTATGATACAATTATCCAGGTAATTTAGGAGGGTTTTAATGACTGTGTGCATAACATTGATGATATGTGGAAATATATTCCAAATAGCAATCAGTTGGTACAATAAACATTTGGAATACAAGTTGTTCACAAATTAGGAACAAACTGCCATTTTTATCTCCCTGAGAGTTGGAAATGGGGGAAGGTGGGATCCAAAGTAAGGTCCCTGCACTCTTAGTACGATGCTATATTTTCTCTATTATGTGTGAACACAGAGCACTGGAGAGGGTCCTGCTCCTTCCTCCACACCGTCAGGGAGGTAACAGAGATTATATTCCATAGGATGCAGTGAGCGGCATTTATTTCCCTAGAAGCCTGATAGAGCAGGAGCCAAAGACAGACTTCAGCTCTATGTAACTCACTCCTCAGAGTCTTACTGTGTGTACAGGGAAGAGCCCTAACAACACAGACCATAGCTGATACATCAATTGCCCTACATATTGAAACACAGGTAATTTAAATAACTACCATTTATTGATTTTTTTACATTTTGGTTGCTGTTTACTTTTTAAAAAGCAGTTTTATTGAGATATAATTGGCAAACAATAAACTGTATATGTTTAAAGTCTACAATTTGATAAATATATGCATATACCCATGAAACTACCACCACAATCAAGCTAAATATACCCATAATCCCTAAAAGTTTCTTCCTGTCCCTTCCTCTGTACCCCTCCCCCTTACCCCTAGGCAACCACTGATTTGTTTTCTATTACTATAGCTGAGTTTGCTTTTTATGGAATATTATAAATATAATTACACAGTATGTATTGTTTTGTTTTATACAGAGTGCAAGTAGGGAAGAGGGGCAGAGGGAGAGAGAGAGAGAGAAGAGCGAGAGAATCTTAAGCAGGCTCCACACTGAGCATGGAGCCCCATGTGGAGCTTGATCCCACTACCCTGGGATCATGAGCTGAGCCGAAACCAAGAGTTGGACGTGGGGTGCCTGGGTGGTTCAGATGGTTAAGTGTCTGACTTAGGCTCAGGTCATGATCTCAAGTGTCTGACTTAGGCTCAGCCCCACATCGGGCTCTGTGCTGAGAGCTCAGAGCCTGGATCCTGCTTCAGATTCCGTGTCTCCCTCTCTCTCTGCCCCTCCCCTGCTCACACTCTGTGTGTGTGTGTCTCTCTCTCTCAAAAATAAACATTAAAAAAAAAAAAAAAGAGTTGGATGCTTAACTGACTGAGCTACCCAGGCATCCCTACATAGTGTGTAATTTTGTTTATCTTCTTTTATTCAGCATAATTATTTTGAGTTTCATTCATGTTGGTGCATTTAGAAATGGTTCATTCCTTTACATTTCTGACTGGCGTGCCATAAAAGAAAAGATCAACTAGGCAAAGATTTCTTAAGATTTATGGCTTTGGATGTTGTATCTAGGATATCTTTGCCTAATCTGAGGTCACAAAGATTTTCTCCTATATTTTCTTCTAGAAGTTTTATAATACCTGGTTTTATAGTAAGGTCTATGATCCATTTTGAGTTAATTTTTGTATATGGTATGAGGTACAGATTAAAGATCTTTTTTTTTAAAGTGTAGATATATAGGTGTTCCAGCATCATTTGTTGAAAAGACTATCCTTTCTCCACTGAATTGCCTTTGCACTTTTTTTTGAAAATCTGTTGACCGTATATATGTCAGCCTACTTTGGGAGTCTTCATTCTCATTCATCGATCTATTTCTTTATCTTTATGGCATCTTTTAAAAATAGCAGCAACAGTTAACATGAACCTTCTTTGCAACATCCCCGTAAAAGGAAGTGTGTGGGTACCACCTAATTTAAGTTCTGTAACCATCTCCAAAGTATTGCTACCTTGTTTTTCAGATGAGAAAGCAGGGGCTCAGAGAGGGGAAGTCATTTGTGACCACCCAGTTATTAAGTGGAAGAATTATGAATTGAGACAGGTCTGATTCCAAAACCTGTACTATTAATCACTAGTGGTAAACAGAATAGAGCCACCCCCCTTCCCCACCCCCGAAAGATGTCCATGTCCTAATCCCCGAAACCTGTGAATATGTTACCTTATATGACAAAAGGGACTTCCAGATGTGATTAAGTTAAGGAACTTGAGATGAGGAGACCACTGGGCCCCCGAGAGGGACCCAAGGTAACCACAAGGGTCCTTATAAGAAGAAGGCAGGGGGACCAAAGTCAAGGAAGGAGATGTGACAAAGAGGCAGAGGTCAAAGAGATAGAAAGATTAGGAAATGCTATCCTGCTGGTTTTGAAAATAGTGGAAAGTGGCAACAGTCGATGAATGCAGGGGGCTTTTAGCTGAAAAAGGCAAGGAAGTGGATCCTCCCCTCAAAGCCTCCAGAAGGAATCAATCCTGTTAATACGTTTCCTTTAACCCAGTGACAGTAATGTCAGACTCCTGGTTTCCAAAACTGTAAGATAATAAGCCATTTAAATATTCAGTGTTTTAAGTCAATACATTTGTGGTAGTTTATTATAGCAGCTATAGACAATTAATACACCACTGATACTCTAACCTGTATTAAAAAGCATGACTTATAATTTGGGGTAAATTATTTAACTTCTGGGAATCACAGCATCTCTGTCTCTGTAATGGCCATAAACAATGCCTACTTCACAGAGATAAACGGATGAGAGGGGTGTGCCTGGCACAGAGCTGTTGTTCTGTAAATGTTAGCTCCATGTAAAAACTACATTTATTCTCCAGGAACCTCTAGACATTGCCCTGTAGACCCTTAGACAACAGTTTTTTAGTCTGTCTGTTGATCCTTGGTTCTTAGAAGGAAAGGGAATCCTAATTCCCTGAGGCATGAGCCACAAGCGCTGAGTGACAGTTGACAATGTCAGGACCCCACAGCAAGGAATTCAGAGGGATCCTTATGTTTCCCTGAGGAAGATCTGGGGGAAGAAGAGAGATGTTCTAGCATAAGGTAAATCAAAACCTATCCTCAGTTCTCACTGCTGTGTACTGAGGTGGTTTTTTTTTTTTTCTCCTTAAATAAATCCATTTTTTCTCCTTAAATAATCTATTTTTTAGTCCATTTGCTTTCTGCTGAAACCCTGTCATACCCCATTCTCATGTTTGTGGACTTTCTTACCAGTTAATGCATGTAGTCAAGAAATATTTACTGGGCAACTACTATGTGAAAAGCACGGTGTTGGTAGTAGGGTTGGACTATCTAGAGGAAGAGACAGAAATTAGGCAGATATACTCAGAAATACTTAAGTACAGATTGTGACAAGTGCCATTTAGGAGAAAACAGGGTGAAAGTAGAACCTAGAATGAAGAGAATGGGAGTGGTGGTGGTCTATTTAGATGAGAAGAATAGAGAAAGCCACTTATTGATTCAACAAATCAGCAAATATTTGTCGAACGGTTATTATGTGTCAAGATCTGCTGAGCAAGAGCGTTTCTGTTCTCCTGGAGTACTTGTGTTCGTGTGTGTGTGTGTGTGTGTGTGTGAGAGAGAGAGAGAGAGAGAGAGAGAGAGAGAGAGAGAGAGAGAGAGTATACCCCAGGGCCAGCCAGTTGTGTGTGAAAATAGGTTATAAATGCATAAACAAATAAATACAGCCCATCTTCATTATTCACAGATTTTATATTTGCAGATTCACTTGCTAAAACTTATTTGTAACCCCGACATCAACAGTTGCAGTGCTTTTTGCCATCATTAGCGGCCATGCTTATAGTGGCAAAAACTTTGAGTTGCCTTATGTGCACGGTCCCAGCCGGGGTCAAACACGGTGATGCTCTGCCATCTTGTGTCAGCTGTCAAACAGTAAACAGATGTCCTTCCCGCTGTCTATTTAGTGCCACATTCTTCCTATTTTTGTGCCTTTTTATTGGCGATTTTTGCCAGTTAAAATATCTCCCAAGCTTAGTGGTAAAGTGCTGTTCAGCATTCCTAAATGCAAGAAGGCTGGGATATGCCTTGTGGAGAAAATACGTATATTAGATAAGCATTGCTCAGGCACGGGCTGTAGTGCTGTTGGCTGTGAGTCCCACGTTAACGAATCAACAATATACATTTAATAAGGTGTCTTTAAACAGAAACACACATAAAACAAGGTTATGTATCGATTGGCTAATGAAAATGTTGTGACCAGAGGCTGACAGGAACCCCTCTGTATTTACCCTAGGAGCACTAGCTCAGTATTTGCTAATTCAGTATTCGCAGCAACTGTGCAGAACTTCCAAGAAAAACAAGACTCAGCTGTACTTTAATTTCAGCCTTAGGATAAGTGCTAAGAAGGCAATAACATGGTGCTAAGTGAAGGAGAGGACAAGAAAGGCCTCTGGCAGGAGTGGGATTGGAGTCTAGATCTGAATGATGAAAAGGAGAGAGTTGCATAAAGATCTGGCAAAAGATCTATCCAGGTATCAGGAGCAGCAAGAACAAAGGGCCTGAGGCAGGAATAATTTTGGTATGCTCTGTGCTAAGCAAGGCTGGTGGACTGTAGGCAGGCAGGTGTGGTGGTTGGGAGTGGGGAGAGGATGGAGAAATGGGTCAGAGAGGAAAGTGGAGCCAGGACCACTATAATGATAGAGTAAAGCCATGGGAGAGTTTAAGCAGGAAAGAGACCTGGCCACGTGGTGTGCAGAATGGATTGAAGGAGGCTGAGTGGAGGCAGTAATAGCAGTTAGGGGCTAGGGAAACAATTGGAGTGAGAGATGTGGCGGTCTGGACTAAGGTTGCAGAGGTGGAGATAATTTGAAGTGGATGGGATATACTTTAGAGGCGGAATTGACAGAAGGAGAATGTTTAGATGGGAAAGTGTTAAGGGGGAGAAAGGTGTCAAAGATGACTTCCAAGTGTCTGAGTGGTACATTCATTAATTCAGTAAGTCATTTATTGGGCAGCGTGCCCTGTTCCAGTGCCATTTACTGTCAGCTGACATCCTCTCATCATCTCCCCACCTCCACCCCTCTACCAACCTGGCTCAAGTCTCCATCATCCCTTCCTAGATTGCTGCAAAAGCTTCCTGACTGCCCTCTGCTTCTGTCCCTGACATTCTCAGCTGAGTAGCCAGGGTGACACTTTAAAAACAAGTCAGGTTAGGGGCGCCTGGTTGGCTCAGTCGGTTAAGTGGCTCAGGTCATGATCTCACAGTTTGTGAGTTCGAGCCCCACATCAGTCTCTGTGCTGACAGCTCAGAGCCTGGAGCCTGCTTCAGATTCTGTGTGTGTTTCTTTCTCTGCTCCTCCCCAGCTTGAACTCTGTCTCTCAGAAAGAAGTAAACATTAAAAAACTTTTTTAAATAAATAAAAAAAAAAAAACAAGTCAGATCCCATCACTCCTCTGCTCAAATACCGCCAATAGCTCCTACCCTACTTGACTAAAAGAACCCTCAGAACAGCCTTCAAGGCTTTTAGATCTTCCTTCTCCCTAACCCTCACTGTTTCCTCTCTGTTTCTAAACATGAAGTGCATCACCCAAGTCAAAACTAAGAGGAAAGTTTCAACAACAACAACCAATACAAAAGGTCCTACTGGAATAAGATTATTTAGCCTCTGAAAGAAGGGATGGCATTAATTTGGTTGGCTAAGTTCTAGTTTATTTGCTTAAAAACCAGCCTCTTTACTTGAAATAGTGGAATCTTACCATGAAGTACAGATAAATATTGCCCATGAGCCAGAGTCTTAAAAAATATTATTCTTTTTTTTTTTTTCAACGTTTATTTATTTTTGGGACAGAGAGAGACAGAGCATGAACAGGGGAGGGGCAGAGAGAGAGGGAGACACAGAATCGGAAACAGGCTCCAGGCTCTGAGCCATCAGCCCAGAGCCTGACGCGGGGCTCGAACCCACGGACCGCGAGATCGTGACCTGGCTGAAGTCGGACGCTTAACCGACTGTGCCACCCAGGCGCCCCTTAAAAAATATTATTCTAATAAAAGCAATAGCTTGCAGACTCACAACACTTTAGAGTCTCTTTAGTAACCACACCATATTCGATTTGTAAGGGACTGCTAGGTTCAAGTCTATTTCTGTTTGAAATTCTCTCTTCTCTTACTGTTTATTCTTTCTGTAACATTTTTCATTTTAGATTCTAAATGACATAATTTTAGCCCACGTGTATCTTCAACACGTCGATTTGTATTTTTGTTTGCTTATTGCATTTTAAAATATCATAAAACTAGGAGCATAAATTCTAAATTATACTTCCACTTACCCATGCTCTCCATAGTAACAGGTTCCGCTTCTTCCCTGTCTAGAATATAATGAAATGATGTCAAATTTACATTTTTGACACAAAAGCATCTTAATTTATCACAATCTTTTACCAAGCCTCAAAGCACAAAACATAAACACAAGTACACAATGAAGTTTTAAACTATTTTATAAATGCTTAAATAGAATTTGAATAATTATCTTTTTTCACAGAATTATGTCTTCATGAAATGCTATGGCATATAATGGATGTTGCAATGAAATGAATTAAAAGAATAAATGTCTATACTCTAAATTCCATATGTGTTTGACTTTATGACAGCGAACATATTTCCTTATTTGATACAGAAAACCACAATCATTTTGGCTGCTAATATATATACAGATACTAAATCCATAAAAATCCCATTAATGAAAAAACAATCCTACCAGGTAATATCTGTTTGGTTTTGCTCCGTTTTGTGTTTTTGTGGCCACCAGCACTCTTTTGTTTTTGAGATTTTGGAGCCATGGTTCTGACTTAGGCTGTATAAAGAGATAATGTCATTAGTAAATTCTGTTTTACAGTTTCAAATAGTCAGCATTACCATTTAGTAAAACATGAGAAGAATATGTTTTCTAAGCTTTACCTTTAGCTAAATCAACGTGTATCTTCATAGGATGGGTGTTCTGTGACCAAAGGTTGATCGCAACAACAATCTTACTGGTAAGGTCTTGCCATTCCAAGGGAGCCATTCAGCTGAAGCGAATGGAAGTGACCTGCCAGCCCTTCCAGGCTTCAGCCATAGGCCCTGCCATGGAAGCACGATGGGGGATACTGGCCCCCCGCCTCTCGCTGCTGTTCCCATTCCAGGGAGTTAGTGTCTGCTGCCCTCTGCCCAGCTCCCCACCAGGTGCCTCAGCAACGAAGGCAGGCTCAAAGTCCACGGGCCCACAACATACATACATGTTCATAATTTTTAAAATTTGTATCATTTAAGCAGTACTTTTATCCTAGCATGTGGACCTCTACCCACTGTGTCCTTCTTTGTGCTGTCAGAGAGTGCCTCCAAAGGTTCTCTGTGGAACTGATCATCAGTTTTGGCTGAGGTCATTTGCTATCACATCAAATCCTTGTCATCTCAATGGTCACCCCTGTCTCATCTTGTTAGATGGTTAGGAGTACAATTTCAGGAGGCTAAGCAGCAAGGTTGAAAAATAGACTTTGCCTTTTAGCAGCTGTGTGATCCTTGGCAAACTAAATACCATCTGAGTCTCAGTTTATTCATGTTTGTTTTTTTCAAGTTTATTTATTTTGATAGAGTACGTGCACATGCGAGCTTGGTCAGGGGAGGGGCAGAGAGACAGGGAAGGAGAAAGAATCCCAAGCAGGCTCCTCCTGGTCAGCGCAGAGCCTGATGGAGGGCTCGAACCCATGAACTGCGAGATCACGACCTTAGCTGAGATCAAGAGTCAGACGCTTAAGCAACTGAGCCAACCAGGCATCCCTTAGTTTATTCAGGTTTAATGGGGATGATGACAATAAAACCTACCTCATAAGGCAATTGTGAACATATAATGAAATAAAATTGCATTGACCTTGACTCAGTCATGTCAATCAGACTGGCTTGCCTTGTTTTATAAACAAACACAGACTGAAAATTATTTCATAAACCCCAGTCAGAATATCCTGAGTTTCATTTTCTTTCTAGTTCCTTGATTACTAAATCTGGTCCAAAGCGTGGGTTTGTGTTTGCGATATACATTTTTCACTTCAGACCCTTCACATGTATTTTTTCAAAAGGTAATAGTGATAGCTCACGTTTGTTGAGTGCTTACTATGTGCCAGGCACAGTTCTAAGTACTTCACGTGTATTATTTATTTAATTTGAATCACCCTTTTAGGTAAGCATTTTATGAAAAGTGTTCTCTTCATCCTCATTTTATAAGATGACAACAGAGGCCGGGAAACTTGCCTGAAGGGATACACAGAGCGTGAGCGGTAGAGTCAGGGTGAGAGCACCCCCAGTGTGGTCCCAATGCCCCCAATTTTCATCTTTGCACAAGACTATCCCTTGGGTTTCAGTGGTAACTGTTTGCTGTGTTTCATCACAAATGAAATTCTTTAAAATCATTGCCGTTACCTAGAAAGGTGTGATGTTATGATTTAATCAGCATTTTATGATTCTGACAACTTGGGAATTCCTACTTTTTAAACCCAATGAATGGTTCTGATCCAGCTTTTTAGACTGTCAGGTATCCTCAATCCCACTTCTCAGCCTCACTATAATTTCAAACCTTGGACCTAGTACTTTATTCAGAAAATTCTTTATCAGTGTACCCCTCTCCATATTTTATTCCAGCACCATTTGACTTAGAATACTCAAGCACGCCTGGGTGGCTCAGTTGGTTAAGCATCTGATTGTTGATTTCTGCTCAGGTCATGCTCTCACAGTTTTGTGAGTTCGAGCCCTATATTTGGGCTTTGACTGTCGGGGATTCTCTCTCTCAACCCCTCTCTCTGCCTGCCCCCCATCCCCCACCCCCGGGCTCAAGGTCTCTCACTTTCTCTGTCTCTCTCAAAACTAAATAAGTAAACTTTAAAAATAAGATACTCAAAACTCTCCAGATACCAGCTGGACTCACCCTAAGCACATAGACAACACACATACCATCACCACCACCACCACTATTCATTCCACAAATATTTATCGAGCAATTTAGATGCACCAGATGCTGTCCTAGGTGTTAGGAATACAGCAGTGAACAAAATAGGCAAAAGCCTTTCTCTGATAGAGCTTACATTCTAGAGGAAAGAGAGCAAACAAACGAGCAAAATCATCAGTATTTTAGACGGTCATAACTGTTACAGAGAGAAGTCAAGTAGTAAGGGGAGAGGAATTGTAGGAGTAGGGAAGTTGCAATTTTATATTGGACTATCAGGGAAGACATCACTGAAGTGACATGGGAGCGAAGTCCTAAGAAAAGGGGGGGGCGGGGTGAGCCAGAAATGCAGATATCTGGGGACAAAGGGTGTTTCCAGGCAGAGGAAATAGTAAGTGCAAATGTTCTAGGGCAGGAATATGCTTGGCACATTTAGAAAACAGCAGGAAGGCCATAATGGCTGGAACGGAGTGAGTAAGGGAAGACCAGGAGATGAAGCTGGTGAGAGAGGTGATGAGGTAGGTACACAGTAGTCAGCTTTGCGATGGCCATAAGTCTCAGTAACAAGCAGCCACAAATTTCTTCTTTGGCTCTGTGTTGTGGCTGTGGGTCAGCTGCTGCTTCAAGTCTTATTCTGGGACTCGGGCTGGAGGAGCGGCCCCTGTGTGACAGCCTCTACTTTCACGGCAGAGTAGAAGGCAAGAGAGCTCCCCGAGCTGTGTAATGCCTCCCAAATCTTCCCCGTGGCACTGGCACACTGTCCTCTCTGCTATTCCACTGGTCCAAGCAAGTCACGCAGCTAATCCCGATAATGGGGAGGAATGCACACATGATCCTTGTGCAGGGGAGGGAGGTAAGAATTGGCGCCAAAATAGTTGTGGACAAGTATGTAACATGCCACAAGGGGTCTGGGTCATGTGTAAGGACTTTGCTTTTACTCTGAATGGGGGGGGGGGCGGGGAGCTATTGGATGGTTTTGAGCTGAGTTTCTTTACCTGATCTGAGTCACATTTTAACAGCCCTGTGGCTGCTGTGTTGTGAGGACTGCAGCGAAGAAAGAGTTGAAGCAGGGAATCCAATTAAGGAACAGTCAGCAATCCAGGGGAGAAGTGATGGCAGCTTAGATCAGGGAGGTGAGTGTGGAATGCAAAGTGGTTGGGCTCCGCACATATTTTGTAAGTAGAGCCAATGGGATTTGCTGACGACTTGGATGTAGAGTCTAAGAGAATAAACAGGACCAAGGATGCCTGCTACAAGTTTGACCCAAAGGATTGAAAGCATGGGACTGCTGTTTATTGAGATGGGGATCCCAGGGGAGGAGTAGATTTGAAAGGGAAAGTCAAAAACTCAATTTAAGGCATGTGAAGTTAGTCTGTAGACTGCGAACTCCATAACTGGCATAGCGGACATTCTAAAAAAATGCTGGACTAATGATTCCTTGGTGTCCCCTTTCCTTCTGCCATCTTAGCATATGGATTTCCAGTCTGGACAAAAGGCTTTTGCCTGAGATCTGTGGAATCACCTGTATGCATGCTGTTTTAGTTTTCTATTGCTGCTCTAACAAATTATCAGAAACTTAGTGTCTTAACACAAAACTCATTACCTAACAGTTCTGTAGCTCAGAAGTCTGACATGGCTCTCACTGGGCTAAAATCAAGGTGTCACAAGACTGTGTTCCATTCATTCTAGCATCTTATGGGAGAATCTGTTTCCTTGCCTTTTCTGACTCAAGAGGCCATTGGTATTTCTTGGCTTGTGGGCCCTCTTCCTCCATCTTCAAAGCCAGCAACGGTGGGTTAGATCTCTCTCACATAGCATACTCTGACCTTTTCTTCTCCCACTTCCACTTATTTATTTTTTTAGTGTTTATTTATTTTTGAGAGACAGAGACAGAGCATGAGTAGGGGAGGGGCAGAGAGAGAGGGAGACACAGAATCTGAAGCAGGCCCCAAGCTCTGAGCTGTCAGCACAGAGCCCAACTCAGGGCTCGAACTCACAAACCATGAGATCATGACCTGAGCTGAAGTCAGACGTTTAACTGACTGAGTCACCCAGGTGCCCCTCCCACTTCCACTTTTTAAAAAAAAAGTTTATTTATATATTTTGAGGGAGAGAGAGAGAGACACAGAGAGAGCGAGCAGGGGAAGGGCAAAGAGAAAGGGAGAGAGAGAATCCCAAACAGGCTCCGTGCTATCAATGTGGAGCCCAATGCTATGCTCGAACTCATGAACAGTGAGATAATGACTTGAGCTGAAACCAAGAGTCAGATGCTTAACCTACTGAGCCACCCAGGTGCCCCCCCACTTCTACTTTTTTAAGGACCCTTGTGATTACACTGTGCCCATCGAGTTAATATAAGATACTTTATTTTGTGGTCAGCTAATTAGCAGTTTTAATTTCATCTGCAACTTTAATTCCTGTTTGCTATGTATGTTAAAATATTCACTGTTTCCAGGGATTAGGAGATGCCGTGTTGGCATTAAGCTTGAATATATAGGTATCAATCTAACACAATCATCCCAAGAAATAGTCTAAGTAATCACATGTGCCCACTTTTTTCAAAGGCTGCTATTAAACGAACTGTGGGTAATCTGGTTCAGTTTCCAATATGCAGGGGAAAACAAAGTCAATTTCCCAGCAGTACATTAGGTAACAAAACTGGGTTAAACAGTAAATGTGTGTGCTTCCTTACCAGAATAGCTCATTTACTATTTTCACAAATATTAACTCCTGTGTCTAACATATTGTCTAGTGACCAAGGAAAAAGGAAGACCAGGTTGTTCTATAGGCTTTTAGGTCCTAATTATTCTTAATTAAAAGCACAGTATCTAAGCTGCATCATAGATGGAAAAATTCATTAGCTGAGGC